GTGTATTGACCAAGTAAAAGGTTGTCCATTGACCCGGACTCAACAGCTGTAAGCAGGCTCAACACAGCATACCCCCAGCGGGGCTGATAAACCAGCTTTCCTTTAGACAGAATCACATACTGGCCAGCCCCTGATGGATTAAATAGTTCCTAACATGTAGGTTGAACCTTTATCACATGCAGTGGTATTATTGGCATTTTGTAGAATTAAGGAAAACTTAGTGCTACGCAATGAAAGAACACGGACAATACTCTTGTTTTGGGTTTTGTTACTTCTGTGCTGTAGGTTTATTGACATTGGCTCTATTGGAAGCAAGCAGTTACTCTTCCTGTTACAGTTCTTCTTAGGAATTTTACACTGAATATTTCTCAATCACGTACAAGGGCCCTGTAAAAAAAACAGCCATAAGGAGCTTCTGCGTCAGAGAAATGTTGTATCTGTTCCTGTTTTACAGCCAGCAGGACCAAAGCATGAAGAAGCAACGGATCTGGGATCAGACTGCAGAGAGCTAAATCTCCTATCATCTCTTGCCCCATTTACTTGGATAAGAATTTTCAAGTACGGATTTGGAAATTAGAGTGCTACACTCACTCTTCTAAAGTTGATGGGAGTTAGATACCTAATTCCCCTGAGCTCTTCGAAATTCTTGTAAAGCAAACGCTACCTTCTCTAACTTATGCAGAAGCAACTGAAAGATCAGGCAACACTGCCAAGCTAGTTAATGCGGTCTGCAAAAAAACGCCTTTAAACTTGTCTAGGTCCCCTTAACTGACATGGGAGGCTAATGACAAGGACTCGAGTAAGGATCCTAATGTCAGCTTGGGAGTCCCAGTAATCAGCTTGGGAAACTGATGCCAAGGAACTGGATAAAGATGCAATTAAGGTTGCCACAAAATACTGGGATACATTGCAGTTCCCAGCTGTGATTGATAACTGAAGCGTTGGCTGCGGTTCCAAAACACCAGCATGGTAGTAAAGTAGGAACGAAAGGACAAATGTCTTAGCCTTTTCATTTTCCAGACGTTTATATTCACTATCTGCATGGAGCCTAAATTATCCTGGCAAAATTTCAAGCAACAGTCCTTTTTTTTTTCCCCTCTTCCTCAAGTGGGTTAATAATGTACAATTAGGCTTTGCTATTTCTCATTGCACAAGGGACAACAGAATAAACATTTCCACTTATTTATGATCCATCTAAGCTTTTGGAGATTTTGAGAGTTTTACAAGTCCCTCGCTGCTTACGCTGGTCAGTGCAAACATCACCTGCATGGTATTTGAACCTTCAACATTGAGTAGACAACATGTTCAGACTCTCTTTTTAAGTAAGAGGAAATAACGTAAGAAAAAACAGTTCTTGAAAAATCTGTCACAGGTATAATGCAGTTCTGAACATCCTCAGGAAATCATAGTTCTAGCACAGCAAATGCATGTTTGTATAAACTGAAATACCTTATTAGCAGCTGTAGGTCATAGGCAAGTAATACAAATTTTTATAGCCCCGGGAATATACACAGACCAGAAAAATGCCGTGGGAAACCCATACTTTTATCTTCAACTGGACCCTGAAAAAGCCTTGTTGCTTCCACCACTGCCAGCACAACCAGTAATGACAGGATCTAAGTCACTGCGTTAAGGACCTGCCAGCTCACAGGCGACGGCCCGTGAGCTACAGGGAAAATGCGTTGCAGGGTTTGACACGCGGCTGCCAAGCGCGCCCGGTGCTTGTTGACTCCGGTGCTGGAGGAGGCTGAGGGGGCCGATCGTTCGGGATGGTCGGTGATGAGAGGCGGCAGCAGCATCTTCCTGTGCTGGAGCAGTTGCCTGTGCTGTGCCAAATCAAGCAGGTTTTGAGGCAGGGGCTCTGGGTGCCTGCTTGTCTGTTGCTGTTGTAGGAGGATTAGTGCCATGTGGAAAAAAATCTTCCTATATAATATAATGACAGAGACTGGGAAAGAACAAAATTATTTGGATTTTTTTTCCTGTTGCCTTCCAGATTGGTTTAATATGTACTCAAATAAAGTCAGAGTCAGTCCTACCCTCTTTTCTGTTCTCCTGCCTGTACTCGCAGGGCAGGGGAGGCTATGTGAGTCTGTCCGAGCTGGACATGTTGGGAAAATCTGTTCCTTTTCACAAGCACTGCGCTTGTGTACTACAGAAAAGTGGACAAGGAGAGTCCTGCAGTAACTAACGTAGAGGTGCTGCAAACAGCAAGAAAATCTCTCAAACCGTTTGCTCACTAGCGTGGTTTCGGAAGACGTTCAGACTTAAACACAAATCCCTCTGATAAATGAAGACCAGATCACCATGTGATTTTTACCTGTCAAAACCGGAAAACTAGGTTGTACGAGTACGGAAGTAAAAGCAATGCATCTACCACGGTTCTTAAAAATAGTCTAAAAAAATACTTTGAAAATAGGCGAGCTACAATGAAACCTCTGTGAAAAATGGTACATTTAGGCTAAGGCTCCATACTGGGTTGAGCTGCCCAAAGCGCTGCTGGCCACTGGTGGGCAGTTGCATGTTCCCACGCCCGTGCCTGCGTGTCCCCCCACCGCCCTCGCCTCGCCACTGGTGCTCATCGGAACGTGTGGTAGCCAATTCAGAAAGCTAAAGCATCACAAATCTGATCTTGCCAAAAAAAGGTGAATCGTTTCCTGCCAGTTTGGCTGGCGGGGCTTGCTCGCACAGGCTCAGCGGTGTCGGTGAGCAGGGGCAGGAACCTGCAGCCAAGGGGAAGGGAAGAAACAGGACTCCCGCTTTGGCAGCAGCTCTGTGCAACCGAAAAGTCATGCTGCACCCTGAGAATAAGGTCCATTGTACTTATGCTTTCAAATAGAAATTTGAAACCTCCCATTTTATTTACGGGAAGTATTCCTAAAAATTTGAAGTACAATCTGACAAGCTGCTTTAGTTGAAGGTTGTGATCATCTTGCAGTAAGACTGACTGGCCTGTTTCACATACAGCTTCTCATTGGTTTCAGTTGCTGCCTCTCCCTTGTTGCTAGGAAAGTGTTGCTTCTTGCGAGGAAAACATGTCCGAGAGAATGGCTAAATCTCAGCACAGACGTCTCTTCATCATCGCAAGCATTCCTGTTAACACTGATGTTCATTCTGATAGGGATTTAATACTCATTGTAGCATCTGGTTTCCAAGTACCTGATGAGTCAGGGTTTGCTCTCCAGTCTGCAAACAGGATAGTGCTCGGATGGGGAGCGCAGTTTTTCAGGTCTTTCTTAAACCCACGTGGATGAAGGAGAGGAGCTGTCAGCCAAGCTGATGTACATGCTGGGGCTCCGGAGAGAAGGGAGCAGCGGAGCACAGAATGGCTGCACAGTGGAGAAAAAGGGGCAGCAGCGGCGGGGGGCAAGGTGTGCTGCGCGTCCTTGGGACAGGCAGGCTGTGGCACAGCCATCGTTTTGAACGCTGTCTTCAGTGGGACTGGACTGAATCATCTTCAGCGCAGAAAGGACCCATGTAACATAGTACAGCCAGAGGATGGCACGGGTCATGTACCTGTGCGTTGTTTCTCATCAACATCTGGTGGTAACCTATTACCCGTAGCCCATGGGGAAACAGCTGGCTTGGCGTGGAAATTTTTCTGGCAGCCTCTAATCTAAGACAGAATAGTAAGCTTTGCAGGAAATGAAGTTTATTTTCATCTGTTTAATTATGAAGTCAGTTCATGAGAAGGAGGTGACATGTTTAGGTTGCTCTGCTATTTCAGTTGTGCAGGTAGTGCCCGAAAGACCTGTTAAAAAACCGTCATCCTCTTGTATGACATCTAGCTCACAGGCAGATATGCTGCAATGGCAATAGTATTTGGGGGTGCTGCTCCATGTTGGCTTTCTGAAGGCTCCCCCATTTCCAGTTTCTATTCACAAAGAGCTAACTTCTCTCCAACACGCATCTGAGCAGCTATTCTGACTCCTAGAAGAACTGAGCAATTACTATCAGCTTGTGTTTATTAGTACATCCATTTAAAAAGTTGGTTGGTAAACCTGGGCCATTCTTTTGTAGTGACTGCGTGGCTACGGAAATGGGAAAGCAGATGCTAACCAGTCTGTGAGGCTGGCTGGGAAGGTGCATGTCATCACTGCGTGGCGCGGCAGAGTCGACAGGCTGTGAAGCCAAGTTAGGATCAGAAGCTAGGAATGGGTCTTCTGCACAAATGGCTCGTCTATACTATTTGTCTTACCGAAAAACCCCGTGTGAGGGTCCTTTCAATTGCCCCAAAGAGTCTTCAAGAAGATTGTCTCTGCTTTTTATGAAGGAATCTTACACAGGAAACTGAATTTTGGGCGCTTTTAAATGCATGCCTTAAAGCTTCACGCAAGTTGCCAGGACTGTGGTCGTTACTTTAACACCTCCAGTAGGGCAGGATTTAGAAGTGTCTGTTGCATGGTTAGAACAGTTGCTGCCCAAGGTGGGCATGTTAGTGTTAGCCATTAATGCTGCTCGTAATGCTACTCCTAACGCTACTCTTCTTTTACATCTCTGTGACTTTTATTCGCAGAGCTTTAGAACTCCCCAGGGTCCCTGACGGAGAGCGCTGCTGGGGTGCTTTGCCTGTATTCTGCCATTACAAGTTTTCACTTGTCCTTCTTGCTGCACACGCCGTAAAAGCAAAGCAGTCTTGCGTGTCAGTACTGAGCGCAGCCCTATGGAAAGCAATTATTTAATTTTGAGCAGTTATTTCTTATTTCCTCCTCTCATGTTGATCATTAGCATAGTAATACAGGCTGGTCTAGGAATTTCCTTGCGTCAGAGTAAAATTCCCAGGCATTCGTTATCCCTTTATGATTTCAATTTCCAGTACCATTGGGAGGAGGCAGCGTAGATGTCCCTGAAATACAGAGGTATCAGTGGGAGCTTTTGGTAGTTATTTTAGCAGTGAAATAACGGCAGGAAATCTAATGGCAAATGATTGTAGACTTGTAGGCCAAGAATGAACTTACTTGTGCTTCACATGTTGTCTCCTAACACAGCAGAGGCATTGCAACATGGGTCTGCGCAAAGGTACGTTAAAAGACCTGAAGATGTATGTTGGCGAAGAAAATTCCCCCAGCTCCTGTGTCCTAGTTCTATGGAAGAGGGCACCTCTAAGTGTGGGAATGCCATTGTATTTTTGGTCATATTCATTGAAAATGTCATCACTAGCTGCAAAATATTTTCTAGCCTGTTCTTACTTGCATCACTGTTCACGGCTTGGTTTGCTCTAAAAATAGAGTTGTACTTTTAACGTGTTGGGAACTGGGGAAGCTTCAACCCCTACACAGTCATTCTCCTGTCTGAGCTCAGGAAACCTGCGCGCAGACACAAGTTGATGAGTTTAAAGTGAGGTCTGGAATGAGGACAGCTATAGTTTCGCCACAACTGAGCCGGCTGAGTGAGTCTACCGGGTTTTGCTAAGTGAAAATCACTTTGCCTTCGTGAACACTTTTATTGTTAGACTGGTCATCCTCCTGGCTCTTTTCTACAGATTTTTTTTCTTTCCTGTTTTGCTCTGTGAGTAGAATGCGTGTGTTTTATCAGTCCTCTGTCTTGGTATTCAGTAAATGCTGTGTTATGATAAAGATTATGATAAATTATGGCACTAAGTATAGTAATAAATGTAGGCATAGTGTATGTAGGCTATTGTGGAAGAAATTCATTTCTGTTCTGCGGTTTGAAAAAAAAAAAGAAGGAGTCATGCATCTGGTTTATGTAGAAATACCCTTATCACCCTGTGGTATCGCTTTATTTTCAGATGAAAAAGCCATAGAGTTTTGTGCAGGAAATCCTTTGTTATGGATGGCATTGTCCAAATTAATCAAGTGATAATGGAAATAATTTAAAGTTTAGAAGTAGAATAATAAAATCATGGAAGTTTTTTGACGAGTCTCTTGCACTGATGACTTACAACTAAGACGTTAAAGCACGGCAAGCAGTGAATTTGAATAGGTATGCATGTGAAGTGCCTTGGAATCCTAATCTTTGAGTGTACATGTAAAGAAAATAGTTTTAAGAAACGAGTCTATTCCTCTAGCCTAGCACGCTGCATTTTAAGGTGATTTATAAACATTTCTCTCTACTGAGCATGCTTGATTTTAAGGTAATTTAAAAATGTTTCTTTCAAAGGAGTCTTTGCCTTTTGGTTGGTGTCTGTTGTAAAGTGTGCTGGAGTACACACAGACATGCAAAAAGTGTAGTATGGGAACACTCTCCTCTTCAGTAGACCCAGTAATTTCTAGTACTGGTGGAGTTTAGAGCCCGCTGGCATGTACTCATGCTAAACATGTTTACATTTTTGAGGAATCTAGTGCATGTTCTGGGATTCTGTGAAGTTATATTCTGCTCCTGCTCCGGGGGGAATGTATTGGCCATAGGGCTTTATAAATTGTCACAAAATGAGCAGTTAATTCTTGACATCTGCTGTGCTGAAGTGACTGCCAAGTTGCGTTGGTAGTTGGCAAGGAAATAAATATTGATAGACCCTAGCAACAGGTACTCCTGAGAACTCTTATTCTGGGAATGCTTAGGCGGCGTCCAGTGTTATTAATGTTGTGATAGCATTTCAAATTTATTTATAGGATTTGTTTGTGTCTTATCACCATCTCTCAGAACTGGAATGCATGAATGGGCTTTGCTGTGCGAGGGCATAGACATGTGTATCATTCAGCCTTCTCTGGTGACTCATTTCGACATATAACAGATGCTTCACTGGCCAAATCTCAGGGGTAGTTGATGTGCACTGATGGATGACATCGCACGTATGTGCTCATATCTAGGCTCTCGTATGTTTGCTATCTACCCTATGTTGGAATGACTACTCCAGAGCTATGTACATGTAAGTGCATCGGATACAAGAATTTCTTTCTTTTCAGTAACACACTAACAAAACATTCATATAGAAGATCCTCTGAGAATCCACCAGATAAAATTAGCTTGCTTATATTGTGAAAGCACTAACGCTTGTGAGTGCTGTAAGTGAGTAATTTTATGTTCTCATTGCAGAAATTGAGGCCAGAGAAGCCTGCGACTGGCTGAGAGCTGCCGGTTTTCCCCAGTACGCCCAGCTATTTGAAGGTATGATCCCAAAGACTTGTCAAGCAGCTGACACTAAATTCAAGTAGGATTGTTTACATAAATAATATTTCAGAACCCGACACTTTTAATGGAACACTTCCATACTCTGTAATATCTTCATGCAAACCTGTAGAAAAATAGTAACCTGGTGTGTGTTCTTGCAGAAGTGACATCTTAATTAGGTCAGCATGGACTCAGTAGCATTCTGTAGAGGACCAAATCTTTCCTGGTTATTGTCAGACTGTAACTCAGCCAAATTTCTGCTTTTGTGATTTTTAGTTGCTTATAATTTTCTCAGGCTTTTTTCCTTGGAGTCCTTGAGGTTTTTTCCAACTCACTGATTGCAACCAAAACTCATCTAAGGCTTCTCCAGCCTGTGGTCCTGAGCAAGACTGTACTAGTGGTGTTTTGAAAAAGAATGTTGGAAAAGTCATCTTGCAATCATAAGTTTTTAAAAGATATAGTGGCAGCCAGCCAGCCAAACAATGCAATTTCAGCATGTTTTCATGTTCTTAAAGCTACAAAAGAGTGTTCATTACTTGTGAGGGGAGATATAGATTTGCTGAGAACTTGTATAATTTTCAGACCATACTTGTGCTTATGCCTTAAAAGGCGTTCTTCTTTAAAATGTGTTTATTGTTGCAAACACCGAATGTAATAAAAGCTAATCTATTTTTATGAGAAATTTTATCGAAGAACTACAGTTAAAAGAACTAACAGTAACTTCTGCCTGCTCTCATTCCCACCTCCCCCATTCATTGCAAAATTAAAAATTGGATCTCAAGCAATAGAGGCAAATTTGAAAGCTGTATACTATGAAACATGATTTCTCATGGAAATGTTTCCTGTTTGACTACAGCAGATTTTATTACATGAGCTGTCAATCTTACAGTTTGTTGGAAATGTCCATTGTCATGCTTCTGGAAAATGAAGCCTCTGTATTACCTTGCTGTTCATGCAGTGTCTTGACTAGGTACATTAGGCTTAAAAAGTAAGCCAAGAAAATACTGATGGATCTCACTGGTTCCCTCATCTGCAAGGCTAAATCTCAGAAGCTGAAACATTGGACTCTTCAGCTGGTGTATCCATTAGCTTCAAGCACAGCACGATTTGTCAGGCTCACTACGCCTCAAAGAGCATATGGCACGTGCCGCATTGTACCTTACCACCAGCAAACGCTCATGTAAAATACTCCTTCTTTTATACTGTACTTGAAGGCAGGTGCAGAGAACCTAACTAAAGCAAAACTTTAATTTTCTATTTCTTGGCTACAGTGCTTGGTCGTTGCAAGTTCCTGGAAAAGCAGCAAATGCTTGTCTACCTGTAACTAATACCAGCAAGCAGATACTGACATTTATTCTCCCGCTTGCTCTACAGAACTGATCCTCACTTACTTAAAGGACATTTGTGTGAATATATAATTATAGAAACAGATTTAGATTTATTTCACCTACGATAAATATGTTGCAAAATTCAAGGTCTTTGCGGTTATAACTCAGATTTCAGATGCAACTTCTTTGTTTACAGATATGCAGTTTCCTATTGATGTAAAAACTGTGCGGAAAGATCATGAATTTTTAGATGGAGATGCGATTGAATCACTATTCAGGTAAATGATAATTCTGAGTCATCTTTAACACCCCCAGGCTCCATAGTTATTTGTCATTCATCGTTTCATGCCTTAGTTTTTGTCAGAGACTAACAAAAGTCACCAATGCTGCGACTGAAGGAAATCGCTTAAGCACATACTTTAGTGCCACTGAAGCTGGTTGTTTTAGGAATTTAAAGGTACAGTAAGTGTATGTCTGCACGTCTTCTTCAGCCAAGGTCTCAGTGACGTTATATTTTCTGTGATGTGAAATGTTTGCAGGCTGAGAAAGAATAATCAGTTCCCTGCAAGCATATGGCAGCACGACAGTTTGCTCTTTAGAATTGCATATTACAGCGTGCAGGGATTTCCTCTACCTAGTGAGCTTCCCCAGAGCTGTTCCAGGAGAAAAACGGCAACACTGATCTGCCCAAGAGATAGGTTTTCTGTTTTGTTTTTCTGAATATTTTTTTGAGTGAGAAGCAAAGGTATTAATTTGAAATTATTGTTTTGCCACAGCTGTTCACAGCACACAAGTGAAATTGCATCGTCAGTGCAAAGCCAAACTCTTTGGACTTTCCCCATGTAAGAGAGCTAGGATAGTGTAGATGATGATACATTCTACTTTACTACTTGCTGCAGTTCTTGACGCCTTCTCATTATGGGACTGTTTAGCAGGTGAAGCGACCTCCACCTACCCATGGCAGGAACTATCCATGCCACGAACTATCCGTGCCACACCGCTTTGCCGATCCAAGGGACGCAATAAGAATTTCTAACTCTCAAGGGACCGGAAAGTTCCTCTTCTGGCAAAGTGGCCTGGTCCTTTTCTGTATTGTTCAGTCCCCTGAATTCAAATTCGGCTTGTAAGAGGAGCACCACCAAGAGTTGTCTGCATATGCATCTCTAATGCAGAGCAGATATTAGGGAACTTCGGGTATATTTTGTTTCTTGATACGACTTGTGTCCCGAGTGTTCCTCGAAGGCTGCCAGTGTGCCTCCCTGTGGATGCTGCATATTTGTTTGACAGTTAAGTGAACGGCTATTTTGGGGCCTTATTGATTCCACAAGTTTTAATTAAAATGTTAGGTAATAAAGTCCTTCCAAGGATATAGGTTAATGTCTTCATTTTTAAATTTTTTTTTAAGAAGAACACTCAGAGTTTCTTTCATTTTCAAAATCTTCAATAAATAACAGTTTTTCACAATCATTAAAGCTCATCTTATGACTTTTAATTAACTAACTGATTAATTATGGTCCTCTTCTACAATTTTAAAAAGGCAGAAGGAGCTGTGAACATCATGGGGTTGTTAATTGGCGCTGTTTTTAGCAAAAAGTATGGCGAATGTCTAACAGAATGTCAGTTTTTGACACCAATAATGAAGGCTCCATGATAGAAGTTCATAACTAGTTTGGGGCATGTTTGTTATCAAGAAATAAAATAGTTTAAATTTAAAACTTCTGTCTTTTTTCTTGTACCCAAGACGGTTGAACACATTGAACAAGTGTGCATCAATGAAAGTGGAAATAAGTCATCAGAGGAAACAGGTATGTTTGTAAAATATAGTTAATTATTTTCTCATTAAAAATGTGTGTAGCTGTTTTTAAAAGGCCTATGAAGGTTTAGCAATTTCTAAACTTTTCTTTTTATTCTCTTCCATCCTGCAAAGCTCTTCCATTTGCATTCTCCACTGAAAAACTTAGTGATGGAGATTGAAATGATGTAATGTTCATTTGGTAACTTTGTAGGTAAGGGGTGGGCTTTGAAACAGTTTTTAAGAATAATTTGACACTCATTAGTGTCCAATAGTTGCACCAGGGACCCCCCTCAGCATGTCTTTTATTGCTTTCCTAAGTAGTTTCACATCTTAAGGCCTGGAAGTGATATTCTCTCTTATTGACTAAAGGAAGGATAAGAAATTAAAATGGACAATCCAAATAGCATCAGCTAATGTCAAATATCCAGCCAATAGAAGTTGGATAGATTTTAGCTGTGCTGGCTTTGTCCTCTCCTCCAAAAACTACTGTAGCATAAAACGGAGTTATAGCCCCATCTTGGCTGGTTAACACCAGGACTGTAAAGCCTCTTAGGTACCATGGATTAACTGCAGGACCAGCAAGAAAATAACGTCATCTTTTGCAAAACGTCTACTTTTTTGGAAAGTTCCACTCTGCCATCAGGGAAGAATGGGGCAAGAGAGGGTCCACAGAGAAGAGACGGGTCATTCCTGTCTCTCTAACAGTTTGCTGGCCCGGCGCTCACTCAGAGTGGGGACAATACAGCAAATGGAGCACCTGGGGCAAATGGCCGGTGAGGCTGAGGTCTCCAAGAGGGTGCTGCTACAGTCCCACAGCCCAGTGCTTCTTTACCTGAAAAAGGGTAAGTTTTGGTCACAGAAGCGTGACAGAGTGTTTGATTTGTTTGGCTTTAGGAAAGGCCATGTAAACCCAATACAATTATCTTTCAAAGCAAGCCCTTTGATTTGCTGCAAAACAGAGTTTTTCATCTTCGGATCAAATCTGCCATCTTTTCCTATGGTAAACCTGCCAAATTTGTCAGCATGTTTTTCAATTAACAGAACATTGCTCAAGGCAGACCTTCAATAACTGAATGGTTACATTTCTGTATGTTGGTCTTGGGGGTTTTGGAGGTAGGCAGAATATTGAAATCTCCTTTTTTGTTACATTTTTTGGTAATTTAAGGTATGTCAAACTTTGCCCTTGAAATGTACTTTTTTCTTTTTTCCTTCTAAGAGCGATGACTCTGAAGATGATGAACCTTGTGCAATAAGTAACAAATGGGCTTATGAGAGGTGCAGTCAGAGATGGTCTCGTATCAAGAGCATAGAAGGTTTCCCAGGAGAGGAAGGTGCTAGTGCATCAGTCCCAGGCAGTCCAATAGTGAAGAGCATCAGCAACGACGATACCGTCTTTCTGGATCATGGCGCGAAACATGATGTGTCCTCAGTTCACAGTACTAGCAGTGGTGACAGTGACATTCTTAGCTTCCCAAAACCATTTGAAGATGTGGAAACCAGCACGAGTTCCTCAAGATGTTCCTCAATTAAGGTGGCTTCACTGGTCTCTACTTTTAGTTGTTCTCCTCCTCCCAGTGAATTTTTAAATATCACCAGTAAGGAGAAGCTTTTGGATAAGTCACCATATAAAAAGAGGAAGAGTCTTCTAAAGAAAATGGAGAAGTTGCACTTAAGGAGCTGCAACTTCAGGAGTGGTCAGTCAAAGGCCAAACCCATAATAAGTGAACCTGTTCTTCTGGAAGGACTTAATGAAGAAAAGATGAAGATGTTGAACTGTGTAAATATTTCTGACCTCTCTGGCATCCAAAGAAAGAATGATTCTTCCTTTTCTCCCCAGAGTTGCAATAGCTGCAATCAGCCTGAAAATAGTAGCCCAGTGAGCACTCCAAGTCCTGTTACAAAACCACGAAGCCACTGTGAAGGAAGCAGGGTGTACGCAGAGGACTTGGATTCTAGCAAGCTCTTGCTGGGGAATGATCCATCTCAGCAAAACCTGAAAAATGACATGAAATTACAAATGAACCAGATGTTTCAAATACCACAAGGCCATAAACTTGGCACGTTCCCCAAAGCACTTACAAACAGCTCCCTGTCTCCAGTAGACGACTCTTCCATCAACTGGAGAACTGGGAGTTTTCATGGGTGCAGGAGGAGGCGGAGCAGAAGCAGTTCCAGGGACTCCAGAGCCCCCAGGAGTCCCCTTTCATGCACAGATAACAGGCTAAGTGTGTATGACAACATGCCCGATATTGAACTTGATAATTTGGAGGCAGCACAAGTTGGTGATGATGATGTTTTTTCAGAATTGAACAATGTTATAGAAGATGTCAATGGTCTCAAGAAGTTGGTTGATCAGTGGACAGAGAAGTTCTCAGAAGATGGGGATTCCGACTTTGCCAGTGACTTGACCTCTTTGTATCCATCCTCGCCTAAAGAAATCTGTCTTGAAACAGAGGGCTCGGAAGATAAGAGAGCGGACCTCCCAACCACTGAGGGAGAGAGCAGCTGTGAACTGGGCAAGGAGATCAGTTCTGCAGACTTGGCATATGTGACGGACTCTAAAAAGACCAAGAGGTCAGCCATCCTTGGGTTTCACTAGTAGACTGCCCCTTGGGAACCTTTCCCCATTGATTCTCATCACTCAAAATGTAATTGCTTTTCCAGAACAAAGTATTCTTAAGTACGTCTGTTCTGGGTAGCAGGGTCTGCACCGGTGGTTCCAGCTACTGCTGGTCTGTAGGCACTCTGGTATCTACATCTGCTCTGACCTCTGTTGAAAGTAGAGCGCTCATAATCTGCATGAGCACTTAGACATTTGGAATCAGACTTTATGGCTCGCTTGTGGTGTTTCTTATTGAAAAATTTTGTATTGCCAGAGTAGCTCCTGGATGAGAAATACCTTGTTTAAATGCAACTGACCATATGGTGTTTCGGAACCGCAGGTCATTTAGAGTCCTAGGTGCTTCACAAATGCAGGCAGAAGACTAACAGGGGCAACAGAAATAGTCCTAAGCTTAAGCAATATTTATCCCATAGGCACGGGAAGCAACACTGGTCTGTGGAAGAGACCGTGACCTTGGAAAGGCTTTCCATCCAGACTGATGGCCAGTCAGCTGCCCAGCTAGCCCGGACACAAAAGCTGGCTTTGTTGAAACTCACTGCTTTAATGGACAGATACTCCCCTTCCACTAAGCAGGGCTGGAACCGGTAAGTTGTTTAATATTAAAGCGACCTGTATTGGGAAGAGAGAATTTGATGTAAGCAGGTGAATTGCCTTGTCTGCCTAGATTACATGTGTTCAAGACGAGGAATTTCATCCCGTTAACTCGCTGGCAGTTCTGTGGTTATTTCAATGGCTCCAGGATTTCCCCTGCTATGGGCTGTACTTTTGCTCCTCGATGGTGGTCATGTTGTTACTGATTTTAAATCACGGTATAGTTTCTCTGTAAATTTGCCCATCTGCAGGGCTTTGTCATTGTTTTAGTTCAAACAGGGACTCGATGCTGAAGAGATGGATTCTCAGCCCAGCTAGCTCTCACCTCAGGTCCTGCGGTCTCTGTGAAGGACCTCTGACAAAGTCACTCACTCAGAGGACTTCTTAGAAATGTCAGTTAGCACCTTGCGATAGGGATCTGGTACTTCAATATAGAACGAAGTGAAAAAAGCCTGCAGTGTCCTAAAGGGATGGACCATATTTCGCATGCGGATGCTTTATTAAAGCTAATTTCAGTTTTGAAATGAGAAAGTTGTTCCTGCAATTGCACTTAATGATTTTTTCTCTATCTATCTATCTATCTTATGACGCTATGTGTACAGGCATGTGGCAGAATTTGGGGTTGTGGCAAGTATAGCTAAATCCTTTCCCGTGCATGTAACTGAAGTAGCAGGGGGAACTGTGCTGGAGAGCTAATAAGTTGTGTGCACTGGTTTTTGTTTTCAGGACTATACCAAAGTTCATTAAAAAAATAAAAGCCTCTGACTACAAGGACAAAAATGTGTTTGGGGTTCCTTTGCTTCTGAATGTTCAGCGAACAAGCCACCCACTGCCTAACGGCATACTGCAAGCACTGGACTATTTAAGAAGCCACTTTCTTGACCAGGTATGAACTTGAGGCAGCCCAGAGCAGCTCTGGACCATAAATGGGTCTGCTCCAGGGAACCAGTCTCTGTTTCCAGCTTTTGCGAGGGACTTTCTTGCCTCCTAAGGCTCTGAATAGGCAGAAAGGTGTAGGTCTGAGCAGGTGGCCTGTGCGGAAGTAGCAATGCTGTTTCCTTCTGGGAATATCTTTAGTCCTGTGTTGTATTTTTGTGCCTTGCCTCACTGAAATCATCTGCAGTCAGTTCTCTTGGTGCAGGCAGGCAAGCTGTCTTGTCCTGGTGAGGTAGCATGTCTCTGCTCCCGTAGGAATTAAATCTACCGCGCAACGTTATTCCCTCGGTTCTGTGGTCGCTGGTAGTGCCATAATGTGATAATTAATCTTGTTTCAGCTGAAATGTACCATTAAGCAGCGATAAAACATATTAGAGCAGCTACAGGGCCTGTAACATCTTTTTCTGGATCTCAAATCCATTTTTATCCACTAAGTGGAGATGTGTGCATAGCAGTGAAAGTGTGTGTTGCGTATGCTACTTCCGTAGCATAGTTGCAGAAATGAGAGACCTGGTGACATAATACGTATTAGTTAAAGAAAGGGCTTTTTTTAACCTGTGCTTTGCAATTGTATAGGTGTGTAAAATCGTGCCGAAGCACAAAAATGTGTGCATCCTGTGAAGTTACAATGCGGTTTGGTGGCACATACTGGAGCGCGAGCAGTCTGTTTCTTATGACAGCAGTGTGTTTCATTTTGAGGTCCTGGTGTCTATTCAGTTAATACAAATACACCGGTGAATGCAAATACTGTCTCAGTGGCACACTGTAAAACTTTAGGCAGAAGCTTTGTGAGGTCGTGTTCATGGGAAACTTCTAAATCTAGGTTTTGTCTGAAACTCAGTTGACATTCTTATTAAAAATAAAATCCTAATTTCCCTCAGAATAGCAATTGCCCTTTGCCAACCTGTAGGCATATTAGATGTATCATCAGATGTGTCAGATGTTACATCGGAACGTTGTGGGTCTCACAGTCTGAGTTTGTTTGCTGCAGCATGGGCATCAATGTACATTTGCTTTTGGATGAACACACATTGGTGCATTAGAAACGTGCAGTTCTAATGTCTGAACACAGCCGGCTCAAGCAAACGGACAGATCCAATAGTAATAATTTTAAAAGTCAAAAAGAGTAATTTTGCCTTAAATAAACAAAAAGCAAGCCGACAAACGTGAAAATCGGTACGTCTTTCACAGCTGGTTCTGTGGGCATCAGCCGTGGTTTGCCTGGGAGGGATATCTGTGCTGCTTCTAATGATACAAAAATATTTTGGTGTTAGATCCCACTACCGTAGGGTCTTAGCTATCAACAGGAAAGTGAAGTGTCAATTATTTGTCAGAGGTTTGATTCCTGATGACTCCCCTCTTTGTCTTTAATATTTTCTTTTACCGGCAGGTTGGCCTGTTCCGAAAATCCGGTGTTAAATCCAGGATTCTGTCTTTAAGAGAAATGAATGAAACCAACCCAAACAACGTATGTTACGAAGGACAGTCAGCATTTGATGTGGCAGATATGGTGAAGCAGTATTTCCGAGACCTTCCTGAGCCTATCTTTACTAGCAGGCTCTGTGAATCCTTCCTCCACATCTACCAATGTAGGTAACAAAAACTGCAGTTTTCCAGTTCCTGGAATATCTTAATATCCAGCTGTACAAGGCAGTGGCAAGACTAGGACTAGTGCCATGTCCCTTTGTAGTCAGAGGAGACAAGTCAGGCAGCAGGATTCTGAAAAGAGGAGCTCATTGTGGCTCTGGACTTAGGAGCTTCACATCTGCATGCTATGGACCAGCTGTTTCCTAACACTGTGTCTTTTCTGTTCTTTGAAGGATGAGTGTAGTAATAACATATGTTGTAGCAGCCCTCCTAAACCCTTTTTTTAAATGGTCATTTCCTTCTGCAAAATTAAGAAAGAACATAGTTCATGGTATGTTCATGGTATGAAGTAGCTCCTTGTGCAAGAAGTCATGTTATATTGATGAAATTTCTTTGCTAAGATGCCCAAGCACAGTTGCTGTGAAACGCATCTTTGCCTGGAAACGCCAGCAACTTTCTGCCTGTGCTCTCGCTGTTACTATCCTTGAGGCTCAACCTAAAAAAGAAAGAAACGTGAAGCTGAAATCTTACATCGAATGTAGTGTTACGTTTTAAACAGGTTCCATCTCCAGTACTTCGCCCTCAAGGGCTTCACTTTCAAAAAGCAGCTGGATCGAGGAAGCTCCTTCTTCTTTTGAGAAAAGGTTTTGAAAGTCAAAGTATGAGATTTAAGAGTGGACTGGTTTTCAGCCTGTTTATGTGACTTTTATTGACATGACTACCTGAGCTGCTGCTGTCCTGTGTATGGTGTAGTTTTGTGAAAGTTTGGTTGGATTTTATTTCTTAACTTGCCAGACTTCTAGAATTTTGTCTGAAAACAGTCTGTTTATTTGTCTGAAGCAAGTTTTCTTTTTGCATCCACAAATCCTTTGTGTAAGGAGGTCCACAATTCCCATGTCCAATGGATGTGGAACCATTTTCTTCCGCTTATTAAAACCTGGCTGCCACTGTCTGCTTTGGTTTGGTATAGAAACAGCAAATGACTGAATTCTACTCACCCTACTCACTCATCTTGTGCCGCATGTGACTTGAGCAAGTGCCGAGATTAAATTACTATCTTTTGGAGATGAGAAGGGTGCTGCTTTCACCAAGAAGCATGTTTTGTGTGTTCGGTGTATGGGCTTCTACTTGAAGGGAAAGAAAAGTGATTTTCTACTCTTTGTAGTGATAGGAGGATGCATGGCAGGATGAACCATACCTACCCTCCTGCAGAAGCTGTTTGGGCACACAGTCTGGGTTTTAGTGTGAATTAAAATCTGTTGGCAAAACACAGTTCTGAATTGAGTTATCTGAGAGCATCTGTTCTCATCATGCCTGAAGCTGAAAGGAAAAGACAGTAAAGTAGCTATCATCTGCTCAAAAGTGTCATTCCAGAGTAATACTTTATGGGGAGACAAGCCCTTGCTTGGATTGTAACCAGAGCCGGTTCAGGGTAAGTTCGTTAGCATGGTGTTCAAGATAAGATAAATTGCAAGTCAAGCACCAGCATCACTGGGTGTGAATGTGCATCTTGACAGGCAATAGGAGAAAACGGCGCTTGTTAGATGTGAGTGGGATAATGGCCTTTGCCTTCTCTGTTGTGAGCTGGTGACAGGAAAATGGATGAACCTACAGTCTCGATGCCCTGCTTGGGACTCTGTTGATGGATGCTTCCTCCGCAAGTCACGTGGGCTTTTCATAATTTTTTCTGTTTTCAGACGTGCCAAAGGATCAGCAGTTTCAGGCTGTCCAGGCTGCTATTCTCCTTCTCCCAAAGGAAAACCAAGAAGCTTTGAAAATCCTCCTGTTCTTTCTACGTGATGTGGTTGCTTTTGTAGAGGAAAACCAGATGACCCCAACGAACATTGCTGTCTGTCTTGCACCTTCTTTGTTTCACCTCAACAGCCTGAGACGGGATAGTTCCTCCTCCTCCACTAGGTATTGGCCTCTCAATGCTGGCACTGCAGCTGTCCATAGTGTTCTTTGCCGGAACAATGGTTTCTGTAGCTGGCCTAGGACCAGCGTCTGCTTTTAAGGAAGGGCGAAATAGCGTATGTGTATGTGTGTTTGTCGCAAATACGGTTGTTCAGGTCCGGCAGGAGCCGACCACCGCGCACGCAGCGCATTGTCCAGCGCAGAGGGCAATGGTGAGGCCCCGTTGTCACGTCCCTGGCTAGTCTGCGTGCGAGCTAGCCTGCCTCCCTCGCAGCTGCCGTACTCTTTGCGGTTGCCCACAGGCCCAGCTGCCCAGGAGCCCAGCATGTGGCCCGCTGTTTGCGTGAAGGTGGTGCTGGCCATTGAAAACGTAGCTCCTGCACTGGCAACCTGAGCCCAGATGCAGTTTTAAGGCCCTGCAGCTATCTATCTGGCAGATTGTAGCAGTCGCTGGCACCAGTTCTGCTGGGTGATAAGGGGATCGCTCCTGCCAAACCGAGCCACAGGGATTCTGTAAATTTATCTTAATAAGTAAAAGTATCTGGGTTGCATAACATCCCCTGTTTGTACGTGCAGGCAGGAAGGTGCCCTTGGGCCAAAGTAGACAAATAATCTCTGAGAGCATTCATGCCTTATCTGGTCTCCTGAGGCAGCGCTGTTTGCTTTACTCCATGCTCCTGTGTACGGACAGACACAGAACAAACAGGGTGGAAGAGGACAGCTGACTTTGATGGAAACGTTGTGCACCCATCAGAGTAGTGACTTCATCGCTTCACATGGGGATCTGAAGATGAAGACTAGTTCCAAAGCAGAAGCTGTCAGATGTGCTGTTGGCATCTTTCAGGCTAATAACACAGGCTCTGGGTAGCGCAGAGAGGGGAAAGAAAGCGCTAAGGACCTTTCTTTTGAATGGCACAAAACACCTGGAAATGCCTGGAGCCTAGGGCTGCCCAGCTCTCGCTGGGCTGAGCCAGCACGTGGCCAGGAGCCGCGTTGGTCATTGCAAGAGAAGCTGGGGATGCGGTGGAGCTCGCTCTTTAGTGGCAGCACGTCCTTCCTGGATTGCGGTTGTGTTTGAGCACCTGGGGATCATACTTTGAGAGCTGTACCTCTTTGGTTTACCTAAACGTTATGCTGAAACACTAGGACCCAAAATAGAAACTGAGTTTTTGTTGTCACTGTTTAGGAGCCAGGATGCTTTGAAGCTTTAGCTTCTCCGTAACTGGGCATTAATGCCGTAGTGCAGGGTTCTGACTTCAAAGGGTAGCAGCTGACAGGCCTGACTTTGAGGAGCAGAGGCCTCTTATCTTCCACCCAATTTTCAAGCCATTTGGCAGGAACGAACTTGACAGAAATGCACATAGATAAAAGTATCAGAAGCCAAGATTACTGATGTCATATAATGAATATGAATTAAAAGCGGGGACTGTTTTTGAAACGTGTTTGGTGTGGTTTGAGCTAAAGGATTTAAAAGCTTCTGCATAGGCTTTACAGGGTATCAAAGAGGTTCGGTATGTTGAAGGCTACGCACAAATCAGTTGGAGTCATGGCTGTCTTTGGCCAAGTGTGTGATGATGTGTTTGGGGAATAAAAAGCCTTGACTTGCCTTTCTTGGGCATATGTTACTACTGGTCAGTAGTGCCCAGGGCACTTTCGGGGTGTGCTGGGACAGAATAATGCTGTCCGTGGACCTTGCTGCACTAACGTGACATGAGCCCCTACATGGCACGTAAGGGTCCTTCAATGCAGTGTGTGTGTGTGTGTTTGCTGAAGCTGCTGGTTTCCAGTCCCCAGGCAGGCCAGCCGAGTAGGCATGTTATACTTGTTGTTCACGGCATCTTACTCAGCCTTCCTTTCGCCTTTCCCTTCTCCGCAGGTCTAGTCAGAGGAAGTGCAGCTTGGGGAAGCCAGACCAGAGGGAGCTGAGTGAGAACCTGGCAGCAACGCAGGGCTTGGCCCACATGATAATGGAGTGCAACAGACTCTTCCAGGTACATCACTTAGTTACTTTACTTACTTACTTGCTGTAGCAAAGCAAAAGCCCTGAGCAGCCCGGTGCAGGTGAGCCTGCTTCGAGCAGCAGTTTGGGCCAGAGCCCTGCAGAGGTCCCTGCCAGCACAGCTGTTTGAGCCTGTGGTAGGTGTGAGTCCTGCTGACTCCAGTACAGAGAAAGTCAATGTCACTGCAGATTTTCCTGCCACTATTTGTAAGGGCTGTGAGAGCATTCCTCCAGTTCTTCCTCCAACCTGCAACTGTTATGGCGGTTTGACTTCCTGGGCTTGGGGCCACCTTAGAGAGTACTTGTAGGGCAGAGGCTGTCATATGCTCTTGCAGAGGGAGGCCCCAGCGAGGACCGACCATCCCTTGCTGTGGGAGTGGGTTAACGAGGTTTTTGCTGCTGGGGCCTGGCCGGAGCAACAGCCATACCTACGCTTGGCCATGGACCCCAGTAATCTGCACCTGGACCTTGACCCACAGACTGACTTCCCGGCTTGACCTCGGCCTTTCCTCGTCGTTATGGACTTGCCTGGTGGTCACTAGGCTGTGGCTGACCCTGGTTGCTGTTGCTGGACCTGATCCTGACCTCCCTTGCTGACTCACCTTCCTGGCTCAACCTTGGACCACATCACCATGGATGTGTCTGACGATCTGGACTCTTGGCTGACCCTGGCTGCCATCCCTGGCCTGGCTCAGGTACCGTGGGATCGGGCGGCTGCCCTGCCAGCCCTGTTATCCCACTCAACTGCCA